CCCCGGTGTTTTTCCCGGTGTTTCCCGATGTTTTCCCCGGTGTTTTCCCGGTGTTTCCCAGTGTGTTTCCCGGTGTTTTCCCGGTGTGTTTCCCGGTGTTTCCCCAGTGTTTTTCCCGGTGTTTCCCGATGTGTTTCCCGGTGTTTCCCCCAGTATTTTTCCCGGTGTTTCCCGGTGTTTTTCCCAGTGTGTTTCCCAGTGTGTTTCCCGGTGTGTTTCCCGGTGTTTCCCCGGTGTTTTTCCCGGTGTGTTTCCTGGTGTGTTTCCCGGTGTTTTCCCGGTGTTTCCCCGGTGTGTTTCCCGGTGTTTCCCGGTGTGTTTCCCGGTGTTTCCCGGTGTTTCCCGGCTCTCTCACGGAGTTGGTGCCCAGGATCTGCAGGTCGGGCTTGTCGGACTCGAGCAGCTTGGCCACCATGGTCAGGAAGCTCTCCACGAACAGGTTGATGCTCTGGCAGTGGCACGCCAGCAGCAGCTGGTCCAGCGCCTCCATGGCCACCCGCACCGACCTGCAACCGGGAATGGCACCCGTTATCCCGGGATAAAACACATCCTGGGACCCGTTATCCCGGGATAAAACCCATCCCGGGATGGGCCATCCCAGCAGGGTCAGGAAGCTCTCAGGCACGCCAGCAGCAGCTGGAACAGAGCCGCCATCGGCACCCGCACCGACCTGCAACCGGGAACGGCACCCGTTATCCCGGGATAAAACCCATCCTGGGATCCGTTATCCCGGGATAAAACCCATCCCGGGATCCGTTATCCCGGGATAAAACCCATCCCGGCACCCGTTATCCCGGGATAAAACCCATCCTGGGACTGGTTATCCTGGGAAAAACCTATCCTGGGATTGGTTATCCCAGGAAAAAACCCATTCTGGGATTGGTTATCCCAGGAAAAACCTATCCTGGGATCTGTTATCCCGGGATAAAACCCATCCTGGGATTGGTTATCCTGGGAAAAACCTATCCTGGGATTGGGTATCCCAGGAAAAAACCCATTCTGGGATTGGTTATCCCAGGAAAAACCTATCCTGGGATTGGGTATCCCAGGAAAAAACCCATTCTGGGATTGGTTATCCCAGGAAAAACCTATCCTGGGATTGGGTATCCCAGGAAAAAACCCATTCTGGGATTGGTTATCCCAGGAAAAACCTATCCTGGGATCTGTTATCCCGGGATAAAACCCATCCCGGGATCCATTATCCCGGGATCAAACCCATTCTGGGATCCGTTATCCTGGGATAAAACCCATCCTGGGATTGGTTATCCTGGGATAAAATCCATCCTGGGATCGGTTATCCCAGGAAAAAGCCTGTCCCGGGATTGGTTATCCTGGGAAAAAACCCATCCTGGGATTGGTTATCCTGGGATAAAACCCATCCTGGGACCGGTTATCCCAGGAAAAAACATATCCTGGGACTGGTTATCCAGGAAAAAACCCCTCCTGGGATTGGTTATCCCGGGGTAAAACCCATCCTGGGATTGATTATCCCAGGAAAAAGCCTGCCCCGGGATGGGTTATCCCAGGAAAAAGCCTGTCCCGGGATGGGTTATCCCAGGAAAAAGCCCATCCCAGGATGGGTTATCCCAGGAAAAAGCCCATCCCAGGATGGGTTATCCCAGGAAAAAGCCTGTCCCGGGACGGGTTATCCAAGGAAAAACCCTATCCTGGGATGGGTTATCCCAGGAAAAAGCCCGTCCCGGGATGGGTTATCCCAGGAAAAAGCCTGTCCCAGGATGGGTTATCCCAGCGGGGTGAGGAGGCTCTCCAGGATCAGGTCCGTGTTCCGAGCCGCCATCGTCACCCGCGCCGACCCGGAACGGCACCGGGATCCGTTATCCCGGGATAAAACCTATCCCGGGATAAAACGGGGTTATCCCCTGAAAATCACCGGGAATTGGCACCGGAACCGGAGCGGGATTATCCCGGGAATCGGCGGAAGAATTGGCACAGTGTGGGCATGGGGTTTGGCACAGGAATTCCGGGAATTGGCTCGGGAATGAACTTGGAAATGAGATCGGGATTTAGCAAGGGAATTGGCATGGGAATTCCAGGAAAAATCCTGGGAATTGGCACAGGATTCTGGGAATTAGCACGGGAAGTGGCACGGGAATTCCAGGAATTGGCACAGGAGTTAGCTCGGGAATTAGCATGGGAATTCTGGGAATTAGCACGGGAATTAGCTCTGGAATTAGCATGGGAATTCACATGGGAATCAGCATGGGAATTCCAGGAAAAATCCCAGGAATTAGCACGGGAAATAGCTTGGGAATTATCCCAGGAATTGGCACGGGAATTGGCTCAGGATTCCAGGAATAATTCCAGGAACTGGCAGTAATTCCATGAATTAGTGCAGAATTCCAGGAATTGGCATGGGAATTAGCACAGGAAATGGCATGGGAATTGGCACAGGAATTCTGGGAATAATTCTGGGAATTGGCACAGGAATTCTGGGAGGAATTCCAGGAATTAGCACGGGAATTGGCACAGGAATTCTGGGAATAATTCTGGGAATAATTCTGGGAATTAGCATGGGACATGGGCACCGGAATTACCACAGGAATCTGGCAGTAATTCCAGGAATTAGCGCAGAATTCCAGGAATTGGCACGGGAATTAGCACAGGAAATGGCACGGGAATTGGCACAGGAATTCTGGGAATAATTCCAGGAATTAGCACAGAATTCCGGGAATTAGAATGGGAATTGGCACAGGAATTCTGGGAATAATTCCAGGAATTAGCACAGAATTCCGGGAATTAGAATGGGAATTGGCACAGGAATTCTGGGAATAATTCCAGGAATTAGCACAGAATTCCGGGAATTAGAATGGGAATTGGCACAGGAATTCTGGGAATAATTCCAGGAATTAGCACAGAATTCCGGGAATTAGAATGGGAATTGGCACAGGAATTCTGGGAATAATTCTGGGAATAATTCTGGGAATTAGCATGGAAAATAGCGTGGGAATTAGCACGGGAACATCAGGAATTCTGGGATCCAAGCCAGGAAAGAGGAAAAAGGAATTTGGGAATTATCTGGGAATTTTGGAAGGGATTCAGGGAAAGGAATGTGGGAATTTGGGAATTTGAGAAAAGATTACGGAAAGGAATTTGGGAATCTGGGAAGGGATTTATTAAAGGGAATTTGGGAGTTGGGCAAAGGAAATCTGGGAAGGAAATTTGAGAAGGGATTTAGGGAAAGGAATCTGGGAATTTGGAAATACGGGAATTTGGGAATTTGGGTAGAGATTGAGGGAAGGGAATCTGGGTATTTGGGAATGTGGGAAAAGAGATCTGGGAAGGAAATTGGGGAATTTGGGAAGGGAATACAAGAATTTGGGAATCTGGGAATGGATTTAGGGAAAGGAATTTGGGAAGGGAGGAATTTGGGAAGGGAACCTGGGAAGGGATTTAGGGAAAGGATTCAGGGAATTTGAGAATTTGGGAAGGGATTTAGGGAAAGGAATTTGGGAATGTGGGAAAGGAAATCTGGGAAGGGAATTTGGCAATCTGGGAATGGATTTGGGGAAGAGAATTTGGGAAGGGAAGCTGGGGATTTGGGAAAGGAATCTGGGAATGGACTTAGGAAAAGGAATCCGGGAATTCCGGGAGGGATTTGGGGAAGGGAATTTGTGAATTTTGGAAGAGAATTTGGGGATTTTGGAAGAGAACCAGAGAATTTGGGAATGTTGGGAATGGATTTAGGAAAAGGAATGTGGGAATTTTGGGAGAGGATTCAGGGAAGGGAATTTGGGAATTTGGGAGGGGATTTAGGGAAGGGAATCTGGGAAAGGATTTAAGGAAGGGAATGTTGGGAATGGATTTAGGAAAAGGAATGTTGGGAATGGATTTAGGAAAAGGAAGGTGGGAATTTTGGGAGAGGATTCAGGGAAGGGAATTTGGGAATCTGGGAATGGATTCAGGGAAGGGAATGTTGGGAATGGATTCAGGAAAAGGAATTCGGGAATTCTGGGAGGGATTTAGGGAAGGGAATACAGGAAGAAAACGTGGGGATGTGGGAATGTTGGGAATGTTGGGAATGGATTCAGGGACGGGAATTTGGGAATCTGGGAATGGATTTAGGGAAGGGAATGTTGGGAATGGATTCAGGAAAAGGAATCCGGGAATTCCGGGAGGGATTTAGGGAAGGGGATACGGGAAGAAAACGGGGGGAGGTGGGGATTTGGGAATGTTGGGAATGGATTCAGGGACGGGAATTTGGGAATCTGGGAATGGATTTAGGGAAGGGAATGTTGGGAATGGATTCAGGAAAAGGAATGTGGGAATGGATTTAGGAAAAGGAAGGTGGGAATTTTGGGAGAGGATTCAGGGAAGGGAATTTGGGAATTTGGGAGGGATTTAGGGAAGGGAATACGGGAAGAAAACGTGGGGATGTGGGGATTTGGGAATGTTGGGAATGGATTCAGGGACGGGAATTTGGGAATCTGGGAATGGATTCAGGGAAGGGAATGTTGGGAATGGATTCAGGAAAAGGAATGCTGGGAATGGATTCAGGAAAAGGAATTCGGGAATTCCGGGAGGGATTTAGGGAAGGGGATACGGGAAGAAAACGCGGGGATTTGGGAATGTTGGGAACGGATTCCGGGAGGGGAATTTGGGGAGGCAGTTTGGGAATGCTGGGAACGCGGCGGATTCCCGGGAGCGCCGCGTCCCGCACCCGTATCGGTGGCGGCCGACGTCGCGCGTCAGGCGCTCGGACAGGTAGGCGCCGATGCGGTCGAGCTTCTCCGGCGCCGAGAGCGCGTAGAACGTCAGCTTCTCCATGTTGGACTTCACCAGGCCCTCCTGGAATAACGGGAATGGAAACGGGAATGGACACGGGAATGGACACGGGAATGGAAACGGGAATGGGGACACGGCTTCTCCATGTTGGACTTCACCAATCCCTCCTGGAATGGGAATAATGGGAATGGACACGGGAATGGGGACACGGCTTCTCCATGTTGGACTTCACCAATCCCTCCTGGAAAAATGGGAATAACGGGAATGGAAACAGGAATGAAAACGGGAATGGGGACACGGGAATGGGGATACGGCTTCTCCATGTTGGACTTCACCAATCCCTCCTGGAATGAGAAAAATGATGGGGATAACGGGAATGATAACGGGAATGGACACGGGAATGGGGACACGGCTTCTCCATGTTGGACTTCACCAATCCCTCCTGGAAAAATAACGGGAATGATAACGGGAATGATAACGGGAATGGGGACACGGCTTCTCCATGTTGGACTTCACCAATCCCTCCTGGAATGACGGGAATGATGGGAATGATGGGAACAGCGGGAAAACCAAAAGGAATAACAGGAATAACAACAGGAACGACAGCGGGAATGACGGCAGGAATAATGGGAATAACGGCAACGACAATGGGAATAATAATGTCCTAAATTCCAAAATCCCGAATCCCAAATTCCCAAACCCCAAATCCCCAAACCCCAAAACCTGTACCACAACCCCCAAATTCCCAGAAAATCCCAAGAATCACTTCGTGGTCCTCAGGGTAGATGTTGTCCATGCATCCCCAAATCCCAAACCCCAAATCCCAAATTCCCAAATCCCAAACCCCAAACTCCCAACCCCCAAAACCCAAACCCCAAATTCCCAGAAAATGCCAAATCCCAAACCCCAAAATGCCAAATCTCAAATCCTGTATCCCAAATCCCATTAAATCCCTAAATCCAAAATCCCAAAAATCCCAAACTCCCAAACCCAAATTTCCCAGAAAATGCCAAATCCCAAACCTCAAATCCCCACCCGAAAATCCCAAATCCCTCAAATTCCAAATCCCAAAAATCCCAAAAACCCCAAGACTCCCATGGAACCCCACCTCGGGGTCCTTGGGGTGGGTGTTGTTCATCCATCCCAAAATCCCAAACCTCAAATTCCAAATCTGCAAACCCCAAACCCCAAATCCCAAAAACCCCAAATCACCTCCAAAACCCCCAAAAATCCCTGACCTCGGGGTCCTTGGGGTAGATGTTGTCCATCCATCCCAAACCCCAAATCCCAAATCCCGAATCCCAAACCCCAAAACCCCCAAAATCCTGACCTCGGGGTCCTCGGGGTAGATGTTGTCCATCCATCCCAAACCCCAAACCCCAAACACCCCACAGAGCATCCGATCCCCCAAAAATCCCCCAAAATCCCACACCTCGGGGTCCTCGGGGTAGATGTTGTCCATCCATCCCAAACCCCAAACCCCAAACACCCCAAAACCCCCCAAATCCCCCAAATCCCCCCAAATCCCCCCAAACCCGCACCTCGGGGTCCTCGGGGTAGATGTTGTCCACCAGGCGCTTGTAGCGGGGCCGCAGCGCGCCGCAGCAGCCGCACAGCCCTGCGGAACAGCGGGAGCGGGTCGGGAAACCCGGGAGGGAGAACCCGGCAAATCTGGGCCGGAGCGGGGAAGCGGGAAATCGGGAAAAGCGGGAAAAAGGCAGGGAAAAGCAGGGAAAAATCAGGGAAAAATCAGAAAAAAATCAGGAAAAAATCAGGAAAAAATCAGGGAAAAATCAGGAAAAAATCAGGAAAAATTATAGAAAAACTGGGGAAAATTTGTAGAAAAATTGGGGTAAAAAAAAAATTAAAAATATCAGGAAAAACTGTCCAAAAATCAGTGAAAAATTGGGGAAAAATCAGAAAAAAATCTGGAAAAATTGTCAAAAAATCAATGAAAAATTGGGGAAAAATCAGGAAAAAATCAGGGGAAATTGTGGATAATTTAAAAATGATGAATTCCCACCTTGACGGAGTCCTGCTCCTCGTAGAGGTCCTCGCCCAGGAAGTTCCAGGGGCTGCGCGAGCTCTGGGCCACCCAAAAATCCCCAAAAAAATGGGAAAAATCTGCTCTAAACCCCTAAAAACAACCTGGGAAAAATCTGCACCAAGCCTCAAAAAAACCTGAAAAAAATCTGTACTAAACTCCTAAAATAACTCTGAAAAATCAGGGCAAAACCACCAAAAAATCAGGAAAAATCGGGGAAAAGCTTGGAAAAATTGGGAATACCTGGTAAAAAACTAAAAACATCTGAGAAAAGCGGGAAAATCCAGGAAAAAAATTCTGGGGAAAATACAGGGAAAATAGGGGACAAAAAAATCTGGGAAAAATTGGGGAAAATTGGGAAAATTATCCAGGAAAATCGGGGAAAAAATCTGGGAAAACCAGGAAAATCCAGGAAAAAAATCTGGGGAAAATCCAGGGAAAATTGGGAAAAATCGGGGAAAAAAGTCTGGGGAAACTGCGAAATATTGGGGGAAATTGGGAAAAATATCTGGGAAAATCAGGAAGAAAATCTGGGAAAACCAGGAAAATTCAGGAAAAAAATCTGGGGAAAGGACAGGGAAAATAGTGGACAAAAAAATCTGGGAAAAATTGGGGAAAATTGGGAAAAATATCCAGGAAAATCGGGGAAAAAATCTGGGAAAACTGGGAAAATCCAGGAAAAAATTCTGGGGAAAATCCAGGAAAAACTGGGGAAAATAGGGGAAAAAAAAATCGGGGAAAACTGGGAAAAATTGGGGGGAAATTGGGAAAAATATCCAGGAAAATCGGGAAAAACGTCTGGGGAAACTGGGAAAATCTGGGAAAAAAATCTGGGGAAAAGTGGGGGAAATTCAGGAAAAAAAATCTGGGGAAAATCCAGGAAAAATTGGGGGAAAAAGTCTGGGGAAACTGCGAAATATTGGGGGAAATATCTGGGAAAATCAGGGAAAAAATCTGGGAAAACCGGGAAAATCCGGGATAAAAAATCTTGGGAAAAGTGGGGAAAATCCAGGAAAATTTCGGGAAAAAAAACTGGGGAATATCAGGGAAAAAATCTGGGAAAATCGAGAAAAATTGGGGAAAATTGGAAAAAATATGCAGGAAAATCAGGAAAAAAATCTGGGAAAACCAGGAAAATCCATGGAAAACTGGGGAAAAAAATTGGGGAAAATCGGGAAAAAAATCTGGGAAAACCGAGAAAAATTGGGGAAAAAATTGGGGGAAAAATCCAGGAAAATCGGGGAAAAAATCTGAGAAAATCCAGGAAAAAAAATCTGGGGAAAAGTGAAAAAAGTCCAGGAAAAATTGGGGAATAAAACAGGAAAGAAATGAGAAAAAAATCTGGGAAAACTGAGAAAAATTGGGGAAAAAATGGGGGAAAATCCAGGAAAATTGGGGAAAAAATTGGGGAAAATCCAGAAAAAAATGGGGGGAAATTGGGGGAAAATCTGTGAAAAATGGAAAAAATTGGGAGAAAAATTGGGAAAAATTTGGGATGGTCCAGAAAATTTGGAGGAAATCCAGGAAAATTGGGAAAAGCCGGGGGAAATAAGGGAAAATTGGGAAAAAAATCTGGGGAAATTGGGGGAAAAATGGGAAAAATTGGGGGAAAAATGGGAAAAATTGGGGGAAAAATTGGGGGAAAAATGGGAAAAATTGGGAGAAAAATTGGGAAAAGTCCAGAAAAAAAATTGGGGGAAAACAGGGAAAAATCTGTGAAAAAATGGGAAAAATCAGAAGAAAAATTGGGGAAAATCCAGGAAAATTGGGAAAAGATGGGGGAAATTGGGGAAAAATTGGCAAAAATCAGGAAGAATTGGGAAAAAAATGTAAAAAATGCATGAAAAAATTGGGAAAAACCCAGAAAAAAATCAGGGGAAATTGGGAAAAAATCTGGGAAAATGGGGGAAATGCAGAAAAAATTGGGAAAAATCTGGGGGGAAATGGGAAAAATTGGGGAAAAATTCAGAAAAAGCTGGGAAGCATTGGGAAAAATCTGGGGGGAATCAGGGAAAATTGGGAAAAATCAGGAAAAATCTGGGAAAAATAGGAAAAATCAGGAGAAAAAATGGGGCAAATCCAGAAAAATCGGGGGAAATGTGGAAAAAATAATGAAAAATCTGGGAAATATTGGGGGGAAATTGAGGGAAAATTGGTGAAATTGGGAAAAATTGGGAAAATCCAGAAAAAATCAGGAAAAATCAGGAGAAAAATTGGGAAAATCCAGAAAAAAAATCAGGAAAAATCAGGAGAAAAATTGGGAAAATCCAGAAAAAAATCAGGAAAATATGCAAAAAATTGGGGAAAAATCAGAGAAAATTGGGAGAAAAATTGGGGAAAATTGGGAAAATTGGAGAAAATTGGGAGAATTCCAGGAAAATGAGGATGGGGAACATTCCTGGAATTCCAAGGAACCCCAGAATTCCCGGATTTCACAGCCCCGATTCCATGGGAAAAAATACTTGGAACGGAATTTTAATTTTTTAATCCAGAAAATTCCTGAATTTTGTGGCATTTTTTTTTGGAAAAAATGACAGAAAATTTGGATTTTTTTGGGGGGATTCCCAAATTTTCCAGGGTGGTTTTGTTTTAATAATCCAGAAAATTCCTGAAATTTCCTCTTTTTTTAATCTAGAAAATATCCAAATTCTCCAGGATTTTTTTTTTTTAAATCTAAAAAATTCCCAAATTTTCCAGGGATTTTTTAAAAGATTCTCCGATGTTTTTTTTTTAATCCAGAAAATTCCTGAATT